TGTACACACAGTCTCAAAACTTGGCTTCACGCCAAAGAGTTCCCTCGGCCACCTCGCCAACCACATCCTGAAAACGTCTTTCTCCGTAAGCTCGGCATTTCTCTACGGAGACCAGTCAGCTTTCGTTTCGGAGGTAACATCTCCGGATTCCGGTTGCTCCCTCTTCTTCATTCCTCTGCGTGGTCCCATCTGAAAAGAACTTGCTTCCTGAAGGTCCTTCCGGTGTAAGCGGAGATGTTTGTTCCCCTAGGAAGCCTGCTCGCCAACCCCCAGGGCCAAAGTAGATCCTTCAGCTCTGGGTTCTCTTAACACCCCAACTTGTACAGACACGTTGCCCTCTTCCCTATCCGACCAGTGCCTTGAAAAGTATCACATTCCCTCCACACTCCCCAAGGTAGACATCGAACCAGGAAGGAAGGAAGGAATAGATGAAGAGTGGGTGGATGGTGAAATTATAAGAACTTACGTGGATGTATGGATTGTGATGAGTTGTATGAGCCCCCAAGAAAATGATTTTTTTTAAAAGAGTATACAAAAACTTACCTGGAATCTGTACACACACCCTTTCTCCGTGTGTCGCCCCCTTGCCCCCGCAGAGTTGAGTGAAGCCCAACAGAAGCTGCTGGTAAAATCCACGGAGAAAAAGATCCTGCCCGTGCAGCTAAAACTGGTGAGAGACAGCGGCACGTGCCCGGGGAGTGAAAAAGATCCAGTGTTAGCCTCACGACAGTGCGGTCCGAGAGGGTCTATCTAGCCGATGCCAACAGCTTGGGCTCATTCTCCATGTCTCCATCGTCGTTCTTCAGCTCCCACCCCACCGTGTGGCGGTGGTCGTGGCTCTGAGAAGAGTGGTTTTTGCAGGCAGCGGTCTTGGTTTTTCAGCCTGATCATGGGAGAGACACAGAAATACCTGACGGGGCTTTGCCGTCGTGGGCCAGATGGCAGGGAACAACGCTCTCAGCGTTCCGGCTCAGTAGAGTGGGACGGACATGGGCCTCGTTTAAAGGCCC